GTGCATGTCCCATTAATTATTATATCTCGCTTAACAGAATACGGAGGTTCACCTTGACATATATAATTAATATCATTTTGATGCTTTTCTCGATCCTACAGAGGTGAGAAAAACTGTGTAATATTCAAAAAGGGTATATCATTGATGATATTGAAATTGATGTATGTTTCTTTTAATACGGAAGCAAATCGTTTACATTTTTGAAAGAAAAACAGAATATCTCATCCAACAAAATAACTTGTCTCTAGGCGTTACAAACTAAATTATCAATCATAGTATAATCTCTTTCCTTAAGCCTGGAGGAATATTAAAGTGTTTTTTAAATTATTAATATAATGGATAATAACAACTTTCAATTGATTCGCTATTATCACCAGCGATATTTGCTTCTTAAACCGAGCACTCTGCGTCGTACGACGGTTGTATGACCGTCGTATGACGACACCAACTCCGGTCCCTGTGAGCGCTAGACGACACGACGCCGTCTGCTGATTATCAGTGGCAGTCTGAACAGATCGTCGTCATTAAAAACGATCCGTTGCGCGCCCGTTGTGTCGTTGCGTTCTACATATAGAATCGAGTCGGCCGACAACCATCTGGAGCTGTGGGTGCCCGGCTTTTGAATATGAAACCATTGATAGTCATTGGCAGTTGTAATTAATATAACATGTTCACAAAATTTGAGCAGTCAAAAGATAAAAGAAACTGTTTTCAAAATAAAATTAATAATAGATAATAAAAATAATAATATAGTTACAACGGATTTCCTTAATCCAACATCTTCCCTATCTTGGAGTCTGTACCCTTGGCTGTACGACCATCACCCGACGAATCTATCCCAGCTGTCTACGAAGTTGACGATGTAACGACGCCTTCTGATCGTCGCTGGCAGTCTGATCTGTTATCATTAAAAACGTACCACTGTTGCGCGCAACCCATTGCGTTGGTCTCTTTCGAGGACAGTCGGCTGGCGCAGTAATTGCCGTGCTTAATGCATCTCCGGTGTACATACAAGCAAATTTAGTTGTCGTGTAGTAACAGCGCAGAAGAACCTCCTGTGTAGTCTATGTAACATTTTAATCAAATAAAACATACAAAAGACGTTTAAATTATAATAAACACTAGCAACTGAACAAAAGTTCAAAATGAAAGGTTTCCACAGAAACGATATCAAAATTCAATTTAAAAAAAAAAAAACAAATATTTAGATTAATAAGCTGTAAGTATAGGCCTAGATAATGAAAAACATTTTATGATATCACAATTAAATTTATAAATATATACGGTACATAGGCTATCTATGCAAAAATATAGACTTGTCTTTTTTTTGTATTCTTTTTCATTTCACGTACTGTATTTTTTATCATCATGTTGACTTTAAAATAGATAATAATGTAATAAATACTAGTCTATTAAATCAATATTCATATATATATATATATATATGTATATATATACATATATATGTACATATATATATATACATATACATACATATATATTTACATATACATACATATATATTTACATATATATACATATATATATCGTATATAAATATATATCATATATATATGTATAATGTGTGTGTGGGTGTGTGTGTGTGTGTGTGTGTGTTAGTATTATGTAACCATATTACATACTGTGATTTACTTATATTTACCTACATCAGTGATTTTATAATATGCTAATGTTCATTATCACTTTCTTCATCACTATCACTGTCTGATGAATCAGAAACACTCGACAACAATGGAAAGTTGTTGCAGAAACTCCCTTCCGCTTTGCAGTTACACATCTCAGTACACTGAAGATTATTTCTCCAACACATGCATGCATTATTTGAACATGTACTTATTGAACAGGTACATCTGATAAGCTCAGCAACTGCTTCATGTGCAGCTTGCTTTTCTAACAAGACAGGTCTCAATTTACCATCTTCTATAAACCAGCCCAGTTTGCATGGATCTGGGATTTCTGGACGCAGGGTTCCCGGAACGCCGCCCTCAGCGGCGAGTGTGAAGCCGCTGAGGGCCGCTGTTGTTGTCATTGTTATGAGTGAATTTCCAATTGGTATTGAGCAAGTCATATTAGGCCTACGTTATATTTGAAAGATTTACGTTTGCCTCCACAGGACTGTATCACAAACTGCATAGCATGTAGAAACATCAAGTGATATTAGTGCAGCAGCCTATTGCAAATGACTTTCATTAATGTTATAGACAGTCACATGATTGCTGAGGCATAAAATGCACTTATCTGTGTGGTAGTAGTTGCCGACCAAATCGCTAACATAACAAGTACGTTAGTTCAGTACCTGAAACACTCTCGACCGTCAATCCCTTGCTATTTTATGTAAGTCTCACATTCTTACAGTTATGGAATACGTCTGCTGCATATATGACCTATACACAAATGTGAAATGTCATTTTTGCAACTCATAGGATACAGTTTTTTTCTAATTTTTCCCCGAAAACGCTACACTTTCCATTTATCCTTCAATCTTTAAACAAAATTAAACATCCTTCCGTTTGAAAACAGAATCAAGTACATTCTTCTCTGCAACATTGGGAAATTGTTCAAATGGTGGAAACTCACCCTCCACTAGCGCATGCGTAGAAACTACATAGTTTTAGGCACGGCGGCTCAGGGTTGGCAATCTGATTTACGAAAGGGACAAATGCACCGCTGTCATTTCTCTATATCGCTTAGCTATACTCAGGGACTCTGCATTCCACCTATCGCAAGTCGAAATTCTCGTTTTGCTTCATCTTTCCTTCCTTACTCCGTAAACCTCGAATATTCCATTTCTCTTATAATTTTTTGTTGTTCTTCCATTTTTTAAATATATTTAAATGGTTAATCTGACCTTTTTTTTTGGGGGGGGGGGTTAACTTCATGTATTATGAACTTGTGATTGTTAAAGCGGCTATTGGTCCACAATGGCCTTCGTGGCAATAAAAAAAAATTGAATTGGATTGAACTGAAACAGTCAATATATGTACCATCGAAAAATGGCAGTCCGTCAACTTTGAAAAAATGTCACACAGTGAAATGTGTTCACTCAGTGTTGCTAGGGCGAATTTCGTCAAGTTAGCACTGTGTACACAGAGTGAACACGTAGTAATAGTGTGTTGACTGTATAAACACAGTGTGTTGACAGTGTGGACACAGTTTGTTGCCACTCCACACTGTGACTTTGCAGATAAAGTGTGGACACAGTTGTGGACATTATTTCATACAGTGACCATTACATTTCGCTTTAGGAACATATGTATATGAATGAACTATTATTATAATAATAATAATAATTATTATTATTATTATTATTATTATTATAAGTTTTTTGACCTGTTTGTTTTTTTAATTATTTGTGTTGCTTTCTAATGTATAAACCTGTATTTTCAACTTGTCTCGATCAAAGGAATGATAATATTTGAAAATGGTGACTATCTTAGACGCAAATCTAAATTTTAAGAAGAGTTTTTAGTATATTATTCTACTCTTTTTTCTGATTATAAATTGATACAATCCTGTCTATATTTATGATCCAGGTCTTGGACTGCTAGTGCAATTTCATTAAACACGTTATAGAATGAAAGAGATGTCAAATGGTATATTAACCATTTGGGTTCATCGCCCATCTTTTGTGGCTTAGTGGCTATCAAATTTGCGGTGTATGCGAAATGTCAATCCAAATCGCCGGTGGCGTGGCGGTAGATTTGTAATTAGGGAACTTTTGATTATCGCCTTCACTGCGTTTTCTTTTCATTTTTTTTTCTTTTTTTTTTTTCATAATGAAGATTCGGACCAAACCTCCCAGAATTCAGACGACAATGAAACTCAACGTCCTAACATTCGCAGATTTTTGTTTGAACGAAGCCATTACGTTGGAGACCTACCTTCGGCACGCAATCGAAATCTTCATATTTTTAGTTTAGTTTACATTTTATTTATATTTTCAGTATTATGTATTCTTGCTTCATTTGACACGAAAAAGTATCTTCCAACTAAAACATCCTGTCTTGTTTCAAATGTTTAGGCTAAGATAAGGGTGTATTTTATCACAATAATTTCTGTTAATATAGGTAGAGGAGATATACCTCGTTATTATCACTATTGTTATCATCATCATTATCGTCATCATCATCGTCATCGTCATAATAATAATAATAATAATAATAATAATAATAATAATAATTATTATTATTATTATTATTATTATTATTATTATTATTATTACTTGACTTTTGCACTGTCGATTGTTGTTTGTCCTTTTGGCGTGATATCTCCAAAAGGTGGCGAAGTGAAAAAGTCAAGTGGCAGTGCAAACGTCTAGTTGCGCAGTGCAAAAGTCTAGTGGCGGTACACGCATTTGAGTTTGCACTGTGCCACTTAGTTTTGCACTGCGCTACTTTAGTTTTGCACTGCAAAACTAGACTTTTGTACTGTGCCACTTGACTTTGGCACTGCGCCAGTTGTGGTTTGTCCTTTTGGCGTTTCATAATAATAACGGGCGGTAGTGAACAAGCACGGGTACATGTGCATTGATCCGTCAGCTTAAAAAAAAAATGGACAGTATTCTATTTTAGCCCTACTTAAAGACGGGTACTATACAGAGTTTCCAATTATATAACTATTCCCTGTTTGAACTCTCTTTAGATTGATGACGATTGAAGCAACTATCGAAACGTCGAGACATCCTCACCAAAAAACAACAGTTCTTTTCAGAACTATCTACGGGGTGTACCGCAAGCATTTAATATATATATAATATATATACATATACATATATATACATTAGATGTGTATAAGAGACAGCTTCTTAAGAGTAGGAAAAAATTAACTATAGAACAAAACAAATAAGTTTTATTAATATGATATATATATATGTATATATATTATATATAATTCTATAGAACTGAGCTTTGGTGATTGTATCAAAGGCATGCCTACGTACAGAATGGGAAAACGAAAACAATCAATCAAACAAATCATTGTCTATTTTAATATGTGATTTATTATACTCAACCACGTGATGATGCATTACCATTAGCCTAGAAATAATATTACTGGTGTTGACGCATTAGAAATCACAGGCACGCGTTCTGAGTACATTCACACCTCTTCAAAACTACTATTCCACCATAACACATTGTCACTGATACAAAAATGTCAAACAAGGCGCTTGGTTTCCTGGGCACAACACACGTCATCTAACACGCCTGAGTTAAAAATTGACGAGCCACATTTTTCTCAATGGGATTTACGCACTCACGTTAGCCTCTACACATTGGACACGACACTATAAACATAAACATGCTTGTGTACACAATCCATATTCACTGCTTATGAATAAAGTGCCACCAAAATACGTCACAAACTACGGTATAGGCCTACGTATTTAGAAGTGTACGCACATTATTCAAACGGTTGGGGGAACGCGTTTTGGATCATTATTATCAGTCAACCGATAGCATGCTGCGATTATTATAAACAAGCTTAAGGATATGTTGTTTAAGTGTGTTTCATAAATTTATACAATATAGCTTTAAAATATCTATACAACATTTTTCCTGTAATACCTATACACTTCAACATTTTCATATATATGGCATAACAACAGTATATCGGACATTATATATTATAGAGAAATAGTAATAACATTCTAAAAATAGAGCTCTCACAACAGTTTAATAATCACTCATTTTCTAAAATTAACATTATATACATCTGGTTATATAAACCCGTGACAAAGATTAAAAACCTAAATCTATTTCAGTAGCAAAATGTATATAAAGTCCAATTTTTTGCTTCATGCGGTCGTCGTGTGATGTCATTATGACGTCATATCAGTGTACAAAACAATTTCCACGTTAGCTTTTACTTAAACCATGCTTAAACGTAACGGATGTTATTAAGAAGTATATGATCCTACTCATTACATATTGACAATGTGTAATTAAGACAATTCGTAGTTAGAACCGCGCATGCTCGTATCACGATCACTCGACACCATACACACAACACAGGTTTATTTCGAGTGACCTCGATTAACCTTAAATACGAGCATGCGCAGCTCTATACCACGAATAGGCTTATACAAGTGGTATCACAGTCCAGTCAGTCGTTGTTGTAAACAAATGCCAAATATACATAATAACAATTTTTATTATTACTTTTAAATGTAAAAATTATTACAAAAAGTGTATACGTGGAGCGATTAATTATTCTAAACAAATCTATTGATGCATGGTCGATTAAGCTGATGAATATCACAAACAGAATTATCAGAGAAACCGAGCGAAAATTTCAACCACACGATCATAAAACCGTAACATTTGTTTGTCTTTACAATTATTTTCATTTATTTTATGACTGTTGTCACGTTATTAAGTGTCAAAATTGCAATATTTACGGCCGGCTAACTTCAGATTTTCCATCGGTATTTACACGCGGATTATGACAGACAATAATAGTAATTTCTTTGAACAGTCTTGAGAGTAAAGAAAAGATTATACTTTCCACTCATGAATTTGTAGTATCTGCAGATATATTGATCTTTCGTATCCCTGTACAAAATCGATTTATAGAATTAGTCTTCGCAGTATTTCCGTACTGTTCTTTCAAAATATTACCGGACAAAAACCGACTACAAGTTCTCTAATCATAACGGGCGGTCACAGAGGGGTGAGTAGGGCCTACAGCTGTTTGTAGGACTACAGTAAAATTTTGAGACAAAATTAGTAGTGTGCACGAAAGCTACAGTTAGAAAACACATTCAACCGCTGTTCGTTATGTCCGTCTTTTAGAGTTCATCTAGGCCTATAATTAATTACATTTAATAAGAGACAATAAAACCTTTACTATTGTACCTTGTTTGAAAGTCATTTGCTACAATGTTTCAAGCTTCTTTAGTGATTAAACATCAACAATGATGATCATGTTGATAATATTAATAATAATAATAATAATAGTAATAATAATAATAATAATTATAATAATAATAATTAATAATAATAATAATAATAATATCTATATAAATACATTTATATATAATAATAGTATTAAAATATAATACTAGTTTACAACAGTTGTCACTAATTGTTTCTAACCAAGAATTAGGTACGGAGACTAGAATAATGTTCACATCTAGAAAGCCTTTAAAAAGAACTTAGCTAAGATATAATAAGCTCTCAAGTAGACAATAAGTCACAATTGAGTGGCTCTCAAACAACGAACGCGTCAGGAGTTGATGTAACGCACTGAGTTACAACCATTGACATGATGGAGGCACTTGGATGTTTATATTTTTAGGTGGTGTTGAAGGATTTATCTGGCTGTGTGCCAACACAATATAAAGGTATATGCCATGACAGAACCATGTAATCTTGGGATGTTTGATTACATTTAAAAATCCATAAGTATTATTATAATAATAGATCACATTATAAGAACGTACAAGCACAGTGGTCTCCCTCTAATTAAAGACCCCTCCAATTAAAAACTACCTCTAATTAAATTAATTTTCCCTAATTAAAACATATCTTTTATCTTTACGATTATAATTAGAGATCGAGGCTGTTACAGACCATGGAAAACTCCGATCACCAAAGTGATCTTTAATTAAAGAGAAAGTTAAATGTTTTTTGATGATTTCTAGTTGAGGAGAAGAAAGCATTATGTGTCCCTTTAACACCGCATCATGTATGTGACGAACGCCTTATACTTTTAATCATGGGGCCAAAGAGTTACTTCACAAATTACATGATTGAACCCTAGAATGTTTGGAGTCTGGTTATATAGACTTCATCTCTCACTGGATTCACTAAATTAAGGCCAAACGTAGTTTGACAGAATGTCAATACGCATATCTGGCAATAGAGTAAAATTAGTAGATACGGTACGTCATCAATCAATCCAATAAAAGCAATCACTAACAGTGAGCTGAATTTTAAATATCTGACGGCCGCCATAATCTTAAGTCAATGTATGTATTTATTCTCAGTTAATTGAGTTTAATGTAGAGACACAAGCGGTATGAGTTAAAATTATTAATTATAGATTGATAAAGGTATATTGGTGGTGCCAGTATCAGGCATAGTGCACTTCCTCTGTTGGACAGGCTTAACATCTGGTCAGACAAAAATATAATAGTTTCATAACCTCTATGAAGGTCTATCCAGATTATCGAAGTTTCTTTGGCAAAAAAAAAAAAATTGTTGTATGCCCATATAATAATCATGATATGCCTATTATGGCCATGATGTGATGTCATCACGACCATATTTGATAGTCTGGGCAGGTCACTGACACTGTCATCACCTTTAGAGGAATTTATTGTAGAAGAAAAGCGCTCTACAAATATTTTACCATTTCCATTATAAATCAGTTTGACGATTGATCCAACATTGCCCAAGTTTGCTTAGGCTAGCCCTCCAGTAAACATCATGGCTTCAGCCTCGAACCCTGACCGGAGCCCCAAAGGCCCCGTGGCCATGTACACTGTGAGACCGTTTTTTGGACACCTGAGGGCCAACTTAAGGTACAGAGAGAAATGTAATATACATATGAAATTTTTTTTCGGAATACACCGATTAAAAACTTGTGTTGTATATGTGAGCCTCGCTCATTTTACAAGAATGTTGTTTGTTATATATTCCAACTTTTACATCCTCTGGTTAGTCTCAACAGATTTATCTAACATTCACAACCAGTAATAATTACCTCCGCGAAAGACGTTATGTATATATAATTCACGCTGTTTGTCTGTTTGTCTGTCTATTTGTCAGACCACATCTCGTGCTGTCTCTTTGTCAATCTGTCTGTCTACATGTCCGTCCGTCGTGTTGTCTGTCTGTCAGCAGGACTACGCAAATAAACCAATGAATGGATCCTTATTTATAGTATTCAATGGAGTAGTAAATATGGGTTTATGGAAGAGGTGATTAAATTTTGATATAAAAAGGTCAAATGTGAAGGTTAAAATCACGCAAAATTTAAAAACGATACCCTTCGAGCATATAATAAATAATACAAATGCTTATCTCGCCCATAATTATAGGCTCTGTGAGTATTATTCTATATTTAAGCACAGGGTGAAGTGCTGCTCTAGAATTGATTTGTGACGTTTGAAGGGCGCCGCCTATCGGGCATGTGATTACTTCTATAAATCGCCATTGATTTTGTTGTTGCAAAAGATGATTTTTAAAAATATGAAGGTACCCTAAATTAGAGGTAGTTTATGTCAAAATAAATTATAGCCAAGAGTCTTCCAGTCTTATTAGCTTAATGTCTCGACCAAGAGCTAACTACATTACTTGCAATATGCGACTGTGTAAAACGTACAGCATACCCGTAAAAAACAACCAACCAGGCGATTGAAATCCCCTGATGTGAATTTATCCAACAGACAAATCAGGACGAAAATGGACTTGAAATTAACATCAGCTTGCGCCAAAGACTTGAATAATATATTATATCTAAGGAAACTGAGAATAATAAGTGTTTTACCTATTAAATGTGGTCACTTATTAAAGCGCAAACCTGTCGAGTGAAGAGTTTGGATTACGCGTGTAACGTGTTATTACGGGGCATTATACTTATTTATGTCTCGCTACATTGCACATACATTATCATTTATTGTGTAGACGATGCAACGATTTCGGTAACTGTTTTTCCACACCAAGTTTATTTTAGTTAAATAATCTAATTAAATTTAACGGCTTAGTGGAAAAATATTACTGTGGCGTGGACTTATACACTCGATTGCACAAATTCATTATTTTCAAAACTAGTTTACATTAGATTAGAGTCAAATCAATACGATTATGATAATATAGACCTAATCTCAATAGAAGATAATTTTATTATAAGGAATTATATGGTTCAGGTTCATTTTTGTGTCTACTGCCTCAGTGTCGTCTGCCGATTGACCTTGTAAGAGTAAATCCGGTGGAGGAATGATGGGATTGTCCAAAGCCAAAGATGAAAATAAAAAGTAAGTATGATGCCATACTAGATAAGACCTGTCCTGGTTAAGTATCCAAGCGAATTGCCAGCACAGAAAGCTGCTAGGTAAGACTTGTCCTAAAAAGTTCACTAAAACGTCAACAATCTGGTAAATTGTATAGTTAGTCAAGTGAATTACCAACACAGAAAGCATGGGTAAGTTAAAAGTAGGCAACAAAAAAAATATGTCAAGCAGTCGATCACGTTCCCGCTGGAGTGACCTCGGAGTTAACGTATTCAGAATCATATCACAATAAAACAATGTTAGTGAAATAGGAAATTGAGCCAACATCAGTCTATAATACTCATTAGTCTAATGCAAACAAGTGAATTTCACTCTAAAAGAGTGCCTACAGAGAGATCACATTAATTTTACGTTTTCCCGGGTGAAAATTCACTCTTGAAGAAATTAAAAAGTTATCCTTAAAATAGCGATTAAAATATTAAAATTTGCAATGGATCGAGTGAAATTTTACCCATTTTCACTTTATCTATTTCACTCCATTTGAGTGATTACTGTAGGCACTTTCAAACTCTTCGTCATTCTTTTGAATAAACAGAGTGGATGGCTTATGGAATTGTGCTAAAACCCTCTACGCTTTTTTTTTTTTTTACATTGTAGGTCATTTTTGTACAAATTGTCAATAATGAAATGGCTCAACCACATGAAACCAAACTCAGACAGTGTAGACAAATATTTCAAGCTTGCATGCTCTATTTTACCTACACTTCATTAAGTGCAAATACAAATTGAGTCCGTCATGTCAAATATCTCTATATTCCTGACCTGTTAAACTCAATCCGTATTTGCAACCAAAGAGAGTAGAATGCTTAACGCATAATTATGAATTGATTTTTTTTTTTCTTGCATTCTTGATCAGATTTGTCTTCGATTACTTTTCAATATGTATGCATTATCCAGATTGCTTTTTATGGGGTTTCTCTTATTGAAACATGTAAAACGATAAACTTGAAACTGGTTTGTAGTAATGCTTGTAATAAATGGTAAAGATGAGAAATTTGAGTGAGTATATCACAAGAATATTATAAGATTCACACTTCGAACGCAATAGAAGTACGGTATTATAACTGGGACCTTATTGTAAATTCGAACCCGATTTGAGAAAACTCTTTTTACTTTATTTTGTGGGAAAAAATTCTAGCAGCTTTTACCTTTAATAAAATATATTTTCAATTAGCTTCCTTTTAGAACGTTAACACCTTTAAAATAACAGCAGGAAGATGATTTTATCGTGAACGGTAGAATCCTGCTTAGTCTTTCTACCTGAACTCTGTGGAGCGCGTTTCACCTCGAATAGTGTGTCAACATAATGTCGTGTAACTCTTGTGTTGCTTCAATTCCAACGGTCGCGCGTCACGATTAAACGCATCGCACACGTCGTACATTACGCTCACATTTTTTTAGTTCTACGTAGTATTTGAAAATCCACATTCTGTTTGATCAGTATATCCATGTGTGCTTTCGTTACTTTGATTACCACTACCAATGATTCTCTCCCACCTTTGTTGACTTTTACACATCAGAGTCTGTTTCATCCTCTTGCGGAATTGTTCAGATAGGAACGCATATAACATCGGGTTTAACGCGCTATTCATGAGATAAAACGCCGTAGACCATGGAATAGAGTAGTATCCAAACTTAGTTTTATTTGGAAAATGACCGTAGAATATCCATAACGAAGTCAAGTGAGTCGGAAAAAGACACAAAGCAAAACTAACGACCAATGCAATCAGCAGTCGTATTACTTTCTTCCGTTCGTTTAAGGCTTTCAAACCACGTGACCTTGCTGGTGCTTTTTTCGTTGATTTACGTGTCCTATCGATAAATCGAACATTACACTTATTTTGCTGTTTCTGTCCCTCGGTCGGCTTCGTATACAAAACACCGACATTTGGCGATTCCTGCCCTTTTTTGATATCAATAAATTTTTCTGTTTCTTCAGTAGTACCATTCTTGTGTTGTTTTTGGATCAACGTGTTTTCGCTGTCAGTTTCATCAGGGTAGTCGATATAAAATTCTCCACATTTATTACTTCCTTTATCCGCCTTGACTTCATCCTGATTCGACACGTTGTGGGAATCAGTCCGCTTAATCTGAGATCCACCTTTGTAGATATTCTTGCGGTTGCTATTGGCTCTAGTGTTACTCATGTTATTTCTCGTTTCTCGTATGGAAATATTCTTCGCTCCCGCACTGTGCCAAAGAAACACAGACATGTGACCATATAAGCAAATCATTAGTGTTAATGGTATCCCATACCAAAGAATGAAACTTATAAGTACTTGCCTCTTTATAATATCATTATATAAATAGTTAATAGTACAGAATGATAAACCATTATAGACTGATATCCCATAATACCATATTGGAGAAAGTGAGTACAGCGTAGAGCACACCCATATTGCAGCCACAATTATTTTCATTCTCTTTGCTGTCCATACACGACGCATGCGCATCGGGTACATGATGACCAGATATCGTTCGATGGCAATAGTCGTAAGTATTGCAGCCGATGCAATTATTGTAGTGCCAAATACAACTTGTTCTATCTTGCAAAAAATACATCCAAAGGGATAATGATTGCCAACAAATCGATACATAGTAGGTATCACGACAAATACAGTCACTAATAAATCGCAAACTGCTAGGTTCACTAAAAAGAAGTTTGTGGTGGTTTTCATCGATCGGTTGCGTAGAACAACAAGAATGACAAGGATGTTACCAGTAAGTCCAAACAGAAAAACCAATAGGTTGAATGTGATAAAAGTGGCTCTGAATAACGGCTCCGCGTACGGATCCCCCTCCTCACCTATTTCTGATGATAAAAAGCAGATTATAATGTACTGAAAACAATGATTAAACTGAAAAATGTGGTGCGAAAGCTTCACCTTCGCGCCCCAATCAGCACCCCTATTTCAAGAATTCAAAATACGCCACTGATGTAAGCGCTTTTTATTTTTATTATACATAATGATTTTTTTTTTAGCAATGACGATGTATAATCCAAAGCAAAGGCAGGTCGACGACTAGGCCTAGTTTAGGATTAGGCATAGGGCCTAGGTAGTTAGTTCTGGTTGTAATTTAGGTTATTTGATCATTTCAAATTTCCTATTCAAATATTTTAATTGACGTTTTTTTGACAGACAGATCTTTAGTCCCAGTCAAAAACAAATGTTGTATGCCCATATATAGTCATAATGTACCTATATATGGTCATGATGTGACATTTAGGCATATCACATGTTTTTGTCCAATAAAATGGAGCTTAAAAGATATATTGATTTCCTATATGAAGTCTCTGAATTGATGGAATATTCATTAGGTACTTACTGTCGCTGTTGTTGTTGTCTGAAAAAAAAAGATGAGACAAATTAATGAACAAAATCATTAAAGTTTATTCAAAATAAATGCTCAATGAAACGTTACTGTGTCTTAAAATAGGCACACTTAATAGGGCCTAGGTAGTTAGTGCATCGTGGATAAGCATTAGCCTTATGATGTTTGGAATTCATTGAGATCGTAGGTCTACGTGGAAGAAACTTCGACTTTGTTTGAACATTACAACAATTATGAAGTCATCTTATCTTATCTCAACACGTAGCGTAGCTCGGCCCCGCCCCCTCCCCCTCCTTTTGGGAGGTAAAGAAAAAAAAAAGAAAAAAAGAAAGAAAACAATGATAGCCCAGAATGCCTCAAATGTTATGTTCGGGCGTCTTGAACACAACAATTTCGCGGGGGAATGCCCCGGACCCACTAGGGCAGTGTTGTCTCGATCGGCCCAACTTTCGGCCCCCACCCTTTTGTACATTTATGGATTCGCCCCAGTTGAATATCCATAGCTTCCAGGGGACTTCGCCCCAAAGGCCCTTGGCGGCTCCCTGGCCCTCAGCCTAATTCTAGCTTCGCTTGCATACATTAGGGAACATATACCTAAATGTTTCTCCGCTACGCCACTGATAATAATACATGTCAGGTTACTTACCGAGGCTGTAAGAGGAATAATCTTGTTCACTTGAGTCTGTAAAGATTGGAAATATTTTGTACTTAAAATATACTTTTAAAAAGCTCAAAACATTGATAAATAATAATGAGCATGGTTAAAAAAAAGAACCAAATATTATTAAGAAAATTAACTTTCATTCACACACCCAACATCGTTCTTTTTATATTAGATCATACACTTTTATAATTAATCCTCAATTAGTGAGGGTTCCTTTGGTAATCGAATAATGAGCATGTTTCAGTGCATCTGAATTAAAAACAACGCTTTGCTAATTATCTATACACGGCCAAAAATAATTACGGATACATTTTTGACTGTTAACTCTGTAGCTAAGGAAACACGATCTATATGCTAAATCTCAATCGTACAATATTATCACAGGGGAAAAATCAAATAGCAAGTAAATCAATTGAAGCTGCTCTTTCATTAACCTAGAAAATATAATAACTATCAATGTGTAATAATGCTATGAAAATGAGAGCCTATACAATTCAAAGATCATAAATTAAAAAATAAATTTTGAGGTTAATCAAACTTAAAGGCTTACTGTCTGTCGAGAGCTAAAAAAAAATTCAATTGAATGT